GAGCCTTATACCTTCTGAGCTAAATACAGTCAAAAAGCCCAAGGCTGAATTGATTCAGTCTTTGCAGGTTAACCTAAACTGCAGAGATTAACAACTGAACATATATTTAATTTTGATTCAGGAAATGCAGTCACATGCCTGCAGTGGCTCAGGCTGGAGGCTGGGGGCTGCTAGAGCACAGCTCTCTAGCACATGGCCAGCATGCACTGTATGTTCTCTTCTTCTTCCTGCTGCCCCCAAGGTCTCTGGGATTTGCAATCCAGAATCACAGCAGCAGGACTCTACGGGGATTCCTCTGGGATTTGTAGTCCACAGTTGCTGCCAGCAGTAACTTTTAGTAAGTTTAGGAAGGCAGGACAGCTCTGTACTCAGGGGAAGTGGGGTTTAATCCCAACCCCCGCTCTTCCTGGCCTCAGACCCAAGCCAGGGATTGCCTGGGGGAAGCAGTCCCTTCCTCCCCTCTCCCTCCCACCCCCCATTCTCTGCTGCACAGCCCAGCCCAGGGGTGGAAAGCATGCTGGGGTGCTGGGGGACTCCGGTTTAACGTAAACTAGAAAGGGGTCTGGGACAGAAGTTTCACAAATCGGTTTGACCCAAATCAGTTAAGTCTGATACTATATATTCAACCAGGTTTATCTTAGACCAGTTTTGGCCATTTTGAAACTGGTTTATGTGCACTGAGCTTTTGTTCTGTTATAGGTTTAAACAGTTTCTGATCACAAACTGATTTAAGTGTAACTTTTGTCCCTAGCCCAGATAATCGTATGGCAAGCCAAAACTGAGTACCCAGGCATCTGTGATGAAGACTGATACCCCAAACAAGGCTGACTGTCATTTAGCCCCCATACCACTGCAAGAGCTGTGAAAGTAAGTGACTAAGCTAGAAATGATGAGGTGGGGACTACTCAGGGCAATGCACATACATACAGAGAAACTGGGTTACTGCAATTGTCTTGGACCGCATAGTTGTGGCAAACCTAATGTTTAAGACAAGGCATGCCTGGATCTGTACCTCACAAACTAACTAGGGATTTTAAAACAATGGCATAAGATAATTGCTGTTCATGAAGACATGTGTAAGGGCAGTGGAGCAAAGACTAAATGCATCTAGTAATTATGAGAGAGACAGCAGGGCACACATATTCCCAGTGAAACTGTGGCCTGGCATCGCAAGCCAGCAAAAGGGGCAATAGCTGGTTTAAATACAAAAATCAAGATGTCTGAGTTGATAGTAAGAAAACTGAATAAGCAGGAAAAAATGCATTTCATACATGAGAGACTAGAAAGTCTCATCTAGGAATGACAAAATTCTTTGGGTGAATCTGATATCTTTTATTAGACCAACTCAAATAGTTGGAAACATTGTTTTTTTGCAAGCTTTTGGATACAAATACCTTAAGTCAGGCTGAGAAAGCATATGCAGTTGGTCGGCACTGGGGATGTGCATCTTGGTAAAGTCAGAGAGGAATGGAGACACTTGCTGGACTCCTTTGTGATAGTGGTCAACCACCTCAGTGGAAGAAGAAAGTGTGCGATGAAAGGGACTGTGCTGAGCCCACAATAAATCCTCAAACTAGATAAAACAGATTATGCAGACAGGCAGACAGACTATAGCCTGGGAAGGATCAGAAAAAATGCAATGACAAAAATAAACGCCATTAAAATGGGGAGCCAATCAAAGGTAAAATTTGCAGGAGAAATAAACCTAAACAATAAGGGAAGAAACAAGGCAAGAGAGTTTTGAAGCTAAAAGATGAGTTACAATACTTGGAACATGAGAATGGAAGCAAGGACACAGAACTGCTGCCACTGGGACTGATTTAATGAAAGGGCATGCAAAGGGAGGCTATCAGAAAGAGCTCACTGAAGACGGACCAACAGACAGAAGTGAGATGATCTGATATTCACAGGATCTACACCAAATTACCTAGAAGCTGGTCTAAGGGACGCTGCCACAGCTGCACAAGCAAATATAGCAACCAAAGCTGCAACGCACTGAAACAGAACTATCAGCCTGGTGGCACTGGGAGGAGAACCTGAAACGAGAGTTTTGGAGAGCTTGGCTATAATCCTTAGCCAAGACTCCTCTCCATTACTTTGAGGAGTGAAAGAAAACTTATCTGTCTGCATCTCTTTGAAAATCTCTTTTCCTTACCCTTTCTCTTGAAGGACCCTACTTGACTATGCTGGTCTCCAGTCACACAGGGTACAGGCAGCTGCCACATCAGTGTCAGGCTGGGACAGATATTAATTTGTACTCTTGTATGATTAGCTGAGTATTTCATGTCATGAAATATCAAATTCTCTTGGTATTTCCCATTTCTTTCCTTGAACCGCTAGTGCTAAAGAACTGTTGTTTCTGTGAAAAGGAGATGTCTTGGGTCCTCCATAATACCCCATAAGTTCTCACATTCACACAAGTGCCAATGAATCCAAGTTCTTTACAAGCTTCGGAAAGAAATCACAGATCTCTGTTCTCTGACTTCACGGGTTCAGTTGCTATATTCACTCTTAGATCTTAAGTTGCTGTTAATCACACAGCTATTCGAATTAATTGCATTAATGATGGAACAGCCACAAAGCTGAAGGTGTTTGTTTCCAGAGTAAAGATCTCTTATGACCAGCCCACCAAAGCTATAACTGCTATTATTGAATTAAAACATGACGTTTGTCCCAGAGGATTGTTGAAGTCTGTGATTAACCACAAACCTTAATTTATGCTTGCCTGTTTCTAAACTCTGTCTGCTTCTAAATTCAGGCTCTACAAGCTTTTGTATGTGGAGGAAAAAAGAAGCAGATGTCATCAAAGTAGTTTATTGACTTGATTCATTAAAACCAGCAGCTGTCACAAAGAAATAGTTTCCTGGAGAACCACTAGCCAACAGCATCCTCTTTCAACCAACCCTGATAGAAAGCTGAGATAACCCTCTGCTTTGAATGTATCATTCTTACACAGCTTCCTTTTTACAAGCATTTCTTCGTGTGTGTGGCTATGCGTGGACAGAAAAGACAGGGCAGAGAGGATGGCTGGTTCATAATACAGGGAACACTGATGTATAACACAACAGTTGTTGCACATTCCTCTTTTCCCCAAGTGCCCTGGCACAAGCATGTAGCCACTCAGAACTAAGGGCTGTGATTTAACAGTTTTTTCAGCCTTTGTCAGTCTCATTTTGCAACTTAATTCTCAAGATAGGAATCAGGAGCACGCTGCACAAAGCTCACTGTACTGCAGACCTAACATTTCCCACTTCACTCTCCAATTGTGGTGTTACAATTGAAGCCTGAAAGCAGGATGGATTGTTCATTTACTTGCAACACAAATAAAACCCTATTCAGGCCCAAGCCCCTCTGAAAAGTTCTCAATTCTAGGGAAGCGGTTGTAATAGGTATTCTTTCCTCAAATCATTATTTGTTCCTCCTCAAAAATAATAAAAAACCTTTAGTTTTTTAAATAAAATTATATATTGAATAGGACGCTTGCAAAAATGGCTAGACTCTTGCTACAAAACTGAACTGATGATGGCTTTGAACAATAATAAACATATTAGGAGATTGGCATGATAACTATATAAGGATAATGCTTTGTTAAAACCTCCGAGTACGGTAGGGCAAAATTGACAGTGAGTTAAACAAAGCTCTTCTTGCTTCTTAGGATACCAAAGTACTGCTTAAACAATTGAGGTATTTTATAGTATGTAATAAAAGTAGGCTTAATTCCGGTAGTACGGCACACTATTACATTCTATTTTTATATATAAATTACATAATATACCTGTTGATCCCTGTTCTCTTATAAAATTCCTTTTTGGTTTTGATTTATATTTTTCCAGAATGCTAAAACGGTACTACTCTTACTTCAAAGACTCTAGACAGTATGAGCCAGAGATTTTCATCAGGGAAATTTAAATTTAGCTCACTTGACATAGCTGCTGCCCATCTTCCTTGATGGTTCCAGGCAAAGTTATCTGTAGGATATATTCAAATACCAAAGAAGAATTCTTGAGCTGGGCATCCATCCTGGGTGAAATGCTGTCCTAGTTAACTCAATGGGAGTCTATCTACCAGGTTGCTAGGTGGGCCATTCAGAAGTGGATTTCACTTGGAAAGATTCACAGCATGTTAGCAATGTCCCCTGAATAGGCAGGATGGGAGCCTTCTCCACTCTAGCTATTGAAGTGGGACCACTGGACAGCCATAAATACCAGAGTCTTGGTGCCAGAGACAGAGGATATGCACAAAAGTGCAAGCACAAGTGAGCATACCTCTGTATTCCAGTTATGGGAATACTCAAATGGAAGAAGATGAAGTCCTGTCCCCCTGTGGTGTGTGGTTGCTGGAGCAGGACTAATTTAGATCACTCTTTGGAATTTATGCATCTCATTTCCACTTGGTCCCTTTTAGATCCCTACTGAACCAATCTGGATTTGTTCCTTACATCAAAAAGGAGCCACATTCTAATGTTTTGCTAATTGGGACAGTTCTTCTCCCTCTTCTTTTTAAGGATACATGTATGACTACCACATTCATCCCATTCACTACTGGAAGAAAAGTAAACACTTCTGAATAATAACACTATTTATGCAGCATTTTTCAGTCTTGACATGCTTTACAAACATTAAGTAATCCTCATACCTAAATGTTGTAGTCCACATTTTACAGTTATGGAAGCTGAATCAAAATTCAGCTATCTGTTCAAAGTCAGAGAAAATCAATATCAGAAATGAAGGTAAGATTCAGCGGGTCTCACCTCTCAGTCCCGTGTCAGAACAGATTATGCCTGTCTAATCAGAGTGCCCTTTTAACAGAAGAAAACTTCACCTTGCCTCCATGAAGCTTAGATTGCTTCCATGAATTTCATTAAAGTACACTGGAAATAAATGTTCTCCAGAAGATCTCCTAAGAAATACTACTAGAAATATACTATCTTTCCTGAGGTCAAGGTGGAGATTTAGGTTAGTGCTACCCATTGCAGTTCTGCAACAGGCAATATTTTCTTCTTTCCAGTCCTCATTGCAGATTTCCACAGCCTGTGCGATAAGTAGAGTATGGATGTAATTTTACAGAGAAAACAGAAATGATCAGAGAGAAGAAATCTGTCCTAGTAAAAATATTCATTTTCATCCACAAATGCTTGACTTTTATACCGTTGTGGCTGAATTTCGGACTTTTAGTGTTTAAGGAACAGGTAACTTAAAACTAGAAAATATGAGCCATTTATACACGTGCTCCAGGAGTGGGGGGGGTGGGACGCTTTAATTAGAGCAGTTCCAAAAGCCGCTCTAATAAAAGCGCCAGGAGCATCTCCTGTATCAGCAACTCCAAGCTTCAAAATGGCACTGGAGGCACTTTATTTAAAGCTTGTCGAACAGCCTGACCATAGGCTCCATCATTTCATGGCTTATGCACAGGGCACTTGCAAAGTGCAGTGTTCATTGGTTTTGGCAAATGCAACAGTTAGTCAGCTGTCTCTTCCTGCCCTTCCCTCCCCTCCCCACCCCCACACAAGTGTGAATGGTAGTTTGATTTCCCTCTATGGCATTTAAATTAAATATATTTCCACATGAAAAAATAATTAAACAATTTGGCTCTTCTGAAGCAAGTCTCATATTTAGGTAAAAAAATGTTCTGGAATCTTGTTATCCATAGTCCAAACACTGCTTTTTTGTACAGATTTCTTGAGGTTTGGGGAGTAGAAAAGTATAAATTATTGTTGTTTTATTACAAACAATGAGCTGCTGCTGTAGAAGTGAAAGAGAGGCCAATACAAACCATAGCTGTATTGTTATTGATCACCTCCTGTGTAAACTGAAAATAAAGTATGTCATTGAAACAATAACAACAGTCTGCCAATAAAGCTGGCAATTGAGAATGTGTCTCCAGCAATCTGTACATCTGTCAAAGTCTGAGGCAGGTGCCTTAGGCTGAATTCAGCAAGGAGAGAAGCTTTTCAACCATAAGAAGGTCATGTTGTATAAACACATTTTACCACTTTTTAAAATGTTTTCCTAGTAGTGTTAAAGATATCCATGAATAGTACAGGCTTTTTTTTCTTTTACCATTGAGGTTTAATGGAGCTAGTTTTGACATTGAATCCTAGTTAAAGCAAGAGATGAAGTCTCCCGAAACAGAAAATGGATGTCAAATATTGCATTTTGCATTGTATACCCAGGCTGTACCCTCAAGGAATTATTTTGCTCTGATTAATTTGTGAAGCCATATTGGTAAACCAGGGAAGAGTACAGAGTCTAGTAGAAGAGAGAGAATAACATCACATTTGACACAAGTTGTTCGCCCTTGGATGCCCATGTTTCTAAAGGAAAAGGGAATATTTACTAGCTAAGATTATTTTGAAATCTGAATCCTCATGAACAAAGGGCCAGGTGATCACCCAACAAAGGAAAGTCAAAGCTATCTTAAATTCAGTGCAATTTAGACATGCAATTAGAAGGACTGAAGGAAAGCAAAGGATCCAAGTTAAGGCTATTGATGAATTTCTAAATTTTCAGACAGTTCTATTTTTGCTAAATTTAATTTTCTCCTACTGTGCTAAATCAGTGTACATGTTTTCAGCCAGTAAGATTTTGGAAGAGGGCAGTTTTCCTGGGAAAGGACACATGGGGAGAAATAAAGAAGTCATCTATGAAACAGTTGGAAGGAAGAGACTGAAATTTACACCATTCCAACCTGACTGGCTTATTGTATACTTATTGTCTGCCCAGTTTGCATGCACAGGTGCCCGTTTGTAAATACATACACAATTTTTCCTGGTGTAGTAGATCTGTAGACTAAAGGTGTGTACAGAAGTGCTCCATGCACGTTTAGCACTTTTTATAGCGCTATAAATTTCAAGCACTCTTAAACATGACAGAAGTGCAGTTTTGAGGAGAGGAAGGGGGAACCTCTAAGCCTCCCTGCAGTTTCCAAGCTAGAAGGCAGGGGGCACTCCACAGCCTCCTGGGGCTGGAGGGGACTGCAGACAGCAGCAGATCAGTGGAGAAGGCAGAGCTGTGATGACAGGGTGTGTGTGTGTGTCCGCGCGCGTATGCGTTTGTGTGTGCGTGTGCACGCACGCGTGGGTGCGTGTGCATGTCCTGTTCATGGCATGTCCAAGCATCTGGTCTCTCCCAGTCATAAAGGGTCAGTTTCTGTATGTGTCCATGCATGCACTGCTATCTCAGTCAGCTGGTGGGAGCAGAGTGAGTTGCCAGCTTTTGCAGGTTTGGCTAGTGCTCCCGGGTTACCCCTGGTGGTGTTGAGGAGCTTTAACCAAGCTCACAAAGCCCATGATATGCAGGTGGAATTGCCACAGATTTGACCGGCATATAGAAGTAATTTAAAGCACTGTAAAATATAGCACTTCAAATTTAATGCCTCATTTAACAAGGGTTAATTTAAAGCGCTGTACCCATTTTTAAAGTACTGTAAAGCTAAGCACTTTGGTTAAGTCATGGCAATAAAGTGCTTTAAATGGCAAAAAAAGCAACTGCTGTACACACTATAGAACTATAGACTATCTGATTAAGTACAGATAGTCAAAAAGCCCAAGGCTGAATCAATTCAATCTTTGCAGGTTAGTCTAAGATGCTTAGATTGAACTGATGAGCAAGTGAACAGAGGTTCAATTTTGATTTTGGAAATGCAGACACATGCAGCAGTAGCCCAGGCTAGAAGCCAGGGTGCACTAGAGCATGCTCCCTGGCTGGAGCAAACAGCTTGGGCCCAGGCTAGACAGCTCACCCTGCAAGGGAGGAGGGTTTGTGGGGGAAGTACAAATCATCTTGGGATGCTGGCGAGCTGTGACTTAACTTGAATCTAGAGGGGATCTAGCACAGACTGATTTAACCTAAATCAGTTAAGTCTGATACTACATCCATCCAAGTTTATCTTAAACCAGTTTCAGCCATTTTGAAAGTGGTTTTTGTGCACTGAACTTCCATTATGTTACAGATTTGAATTGGTTTCTGACCACTTATACCAGTTTATGTGAGCTTGGCTGATAAAGGTGTAAGGTATTTGGTCCAGACCTTCTGATGCCTGTGCAGAATGTCTGGCTAATGAACCCTTAAACTCTATAAGGCATCCAGCAGATGTTTGTACCACAGGAAACTAGATTTTAGAGCATACATTCACAACTTAGACTAACAGCATCTGTGGATCTCTGGGAAGGATGCTAGCCAATATATGTGAAAACACATAATGAACAAACATTAGGAGAAGGCAGTGGGGTGGCAAGAGAAAAGTGATGTTGTACTTAAGGGAAACAGAAAAGACTTATTAATCATTTATATACCTCTTGAAAATATCTAAATTTTGAAATTTTTCCTTCTGCCACCCATGAATGAACTTGTGCCCAATAGTTCAATTATGTGGCTGACCACCAGGCATGGATGCAGATTCTGTTTGCCTTCCTCAGGCTAGATACCCTATTGAATGGGCTTTATCAATGGAGAAGGGTACTACTCAACACAAGAACAGAATCAGAGACTGGACCTAAATTACTAGACATAGTTGTCAGTACCAGACTACAAGAGCACTGGAAATCCACCATATTCATTTACTTAGCTTCATCTATGACCTGATCCAGAAACAGACATCCTAATGGTATCATACCCCATGAAATCACATAATGATTGGGAAGGAAGAACCAGCAGCATACTGACAGGCTGGGGAACTCCCTTCTCATCAGGGCAGAGGCAGAAAAGGATTTTGGAGTCCCTATTGATTCCAAGATGAACATGGGCCGGCAACACGGGGACGCAGTCAGGAAGGCTAACCGCACCTTGTCATGCATCCACAGATGCATCTCGAGCAGGTCCAAGGAGGTGATCCTCCCCCTCTATGTGGCACTGGTCAGGCTGCAGCTGGAGTACTGCATCCAGTTCTGGGCACCACACTTCAAGAGGGATGTGGACAACATGGAGAGGGTCCAGAGGAGGGCCACTCGCATGATCAGGCCCTATGAGGAGAGGCTACGGGACCTGAACCTGTTCAGCCTCCACAAGAGAAGGCTGAGGGGGGATCTAGTGGCCTGTTACAAACTAGTCAGAGGGGACCAGCAGGCACTGGGGAAGTCCCTGTTCCCCCAAGCACTGCCAGGAGTGACTAGAAATAACGGTCACAAGCTGGCAGAGGGTAGATTCAGGCTAGACATCAGGAGGCGCTACTTCACTGTCAGGGTGGCTAGGATCTGGAACCAATTTCCAAGTGAAGTGGTGCTGGCTCCTACCCTGGGGGTTTTTAAGAGGAAGCTAGATGGACACCTTGCTGGAGTCGTTTGACTCAAGAACTCTTTCCTGCCATGGCAGGGGGTTGCATTTGGTGATCTGCTCAGGTCTCTTCAGACCCTAGAAACTATGAAATCATCATATGTGATGATTTTACTGAATGAGTCAAAAGAAGTTTCTACTGCTTTTTTCCTGTTACTTTGGTGTGCTGGCACAGTGTGTGTGTGTGTGTGTGTGTGTGTGTGTGTGTGTGTGTGTGTGTGTGTGTGTGTGTG